AAAAATATTTGTAAAATGCATACATTTTAAGAAAAACAACACACTACCTCTTTTAAGAAACAAACTATTGGGCTGGGGATGTAGCTTAGTGGTAAAGTGCTTGCCTGATTTGTACAAGGCTAAATGTTTAATTCCAAACCCAGGAAAAAAAATTAAAGAAAGAATATTAGTGTTTCCTTCAAAGGCCCGTGTGCCTCGCCCTGATTGCAGTACCACTCTGCCCTGAATAGAGGTTACCTCTATCTTGAATTTTTGTTTATCATTCTCTTGTTCTTTGTACTGTTACCATATGTTTCTATTCCTAAAAGCAAGCCGTTTGTGAACTTTCCATAATGGAATCCCATGCCTAATGTGTGTTGTTCATCCAACATTATGTTCTTGGAGAATCATCTTTGTTGATACTGCTGTCTATTTATTTTTAATGTTTTGTTTCTTCTTTTACTTCCAGCTGTTCTGTCTCTATTTTCAAAGCTACACAGTGTCCCATTGCAACCCTCTGGTTAGTATACAACTACAATGCTGTTGACAGACTTTGGAGGGCTTCCATTTAACAGTGCTGTTGTGAATATTCTTCCACACAATCCACACTGCATCATGGCCAGAGTTTCTTGGGCATATCCCTAGGAATGAAATTGTTGGGTTGTAGGGCATGTGTATCATCTGCTTTTCTATATAATGCCAAATATTTTCCAAAGTGGTTGTAACAATTTTTACTCCCTCTAGCAGTGTATGAGAGTACCACTGTTTGATGTCATTGTCAGGACGCTGACATTGTTAAACGGAGGAACTTTTGCCTGTCTGGTGTTTATGACGTGATATTTGTCATTTTCATTTGTATTCTCCATTACTCATGACTTTAAGCATATTTACCAGCTTTTGGTTGTTTGTGCTCTCTTTTCTGTAAAATGCCTGTTCATGTTTTTCTGACAATTTTTAAAAATTAATTCTGATCCATTTGCAGGAATGAATTTGATATTCTAGATCTAAAACCTGAGCGTCATAAATGTTGCAAGTATCTTCTTCCGGTTTGTACCATATGTCGTCTCTTTCCTAATGGTCCTAGTAAACTTTAGCTGTGGAATTCTTTAAAAACAATATTAGAGAATGTAAACTTTTGTAGAGAGAACCTTATAACGTAAAGGTCACTACTCAAATCTTTAAATGCTTCCTTAAGGACGAGGAGTTGAGTTTAGATATTTGTCTTAGATGGTGCTTATTCATTCATGTATATATTCATACAGTTGAATCCTATAGGCACACTGGGAGGCAATACAGGAGGAACTGCAGCAATTAAGGTCTTTTCCTATATCAAAGAGTTTCTATTCCAATAAGAAGTTGATCTTATTTCATCTTATATCAGAGCTGTCTCCTCCCCAAGAATGAAATAAATAATTCAAGGGCTTTTCTTTCTTACATGTAGTGTGTTTTCTCATTTATTTTTAAAGTGATTTAAACCAGATGTAGTGGTACATACTTGTAATCCCAGCAGTTTGGGAGACTGAGAAAGGAGGATCACAAGTTTAGGCCAGTCTCAGCAACTTAGTGAGACCCTGTCTCAAAACAAAACAAACAAACAAAAAAAGTCATTTAAGATACTGTATATAGTTATTTTTAAAACCTTGAAAATCTAATATCCTGTTGGCCATGGTGACACATACCTGTAATCCTGGTAATTTGGGAGGCTGAGGCAGGAGGAACTCAAGTATGAGGCCAGTCTCAGCAACTTAACAAGGCCCTCAGGAACTTAGGGAGAACCTGTCTTAATATAAATAAATAAATAAATAAATAAATAAATAAATAAATAAATAAATAAGGACTGAAGATGTGGCTCAGTGGTAAAGTACCTCTGAGTACACAATCCACACTGTATCATGGCCAGAGTTTCTTGGGCATGTGCCTAGGAGCGAAATTGTTGGGTTGTAGTGTGTGTGTACACCTGGATTTAATCCCCAGTGTAGGGCATGTGTACCCCTGGATTCAATCCTCAGTGCCAAAAAAAAAAAAAATCTAATATACCATGTTGTAGTATGCTGAGAGAAAGAGAGAGAGGAAAAAATTAACTAGAGATAGTCTTGCATTCCTTTACCATAACTCTTTCTCTGATCCAAGCATAAACTCTTAGTTATTGCCAGTATACCCTGGGAGGAGTCATTCCAAAACTCTCTGTATTCCAGAACATTTCTGGATTCCTCAAGACAATTCTTAATTTAGTTAAGTACATCAACAGGCTTGGTGTCCTCCGATGAGATGAGCTTGCCCCCATGGACCATTTTACTCAAAGTGGCTGCTGTACACTTACAAAGCTCTCTTGCAAGTAGCCAATACAAAAGGGAAGAAAATGGAAAAAGCAAAAATGTTAAACTTTTTACATGGGAACAATTTCAAACTTACAGATAAATAAAACAACAACAACCAAAAAATAGTCCAAAGACTACTCAAACTCCCTTTTCCTTAGATTCACCTGTTTATATTTTACCATAGCCACTTTCACTGGTTCTTGTCCACTCTCTCACCATAATGTATATGCATGAATATGTGTATATGTTCATATATAAAGCTGAATGTACATTTCTATGGGTAATTCATATACACCCATATGTGGATTCCTATATACATGCATTTATGTATGTAGATTTACATACACATATACTTTTTTCTATGGGTGAGTTATATACATTATCATCTTTATCTAAATATGTGTGATTTGCTCAAAATGTGACTATATATGAACTGAAGAACTTAAAGGTGAACAAGAAGTTGTACAATGACTTGTCCATTGAATCTTTCAATGTTAGTGTTTCTTAGTGGTGTTAGGGGAGGTACAAGCATGAATGGACAGACTGTCACTAAAAGCATTGAGGTGAGAGATGTCTGTATATACCTGCATCTTCTCTTGTGCAGTATTTCCAGGAAGATTTAATTTTAAATAATTAAATCCTATATTCGATGGGGGGAGCTAAAGGAGGATGGAGAGACAATGCTCAAGGGGTATGAGGATGAAGATGGCTAGGAGTAATGACTTCTAAAGTTCTACAGCACAGTAGATAACTCTGGTTGGCCACAACTAATTTCATATTTCAAAATAGCTTGAAGAGAGGATATTGAATATCTCCAACATGAAGAAAGAATAAATGTGTTAGGTGATGGACATGCCAATTGTCCTGATCTGATCGTTATATACTGTGTACGGGTATTTAAATATTACCCATATTCCATAAATAAATAGAATCTTGTATCAACTAAAATTTTTAAATTTGACTTTTAAAAAACCCCACAACCCAAACTAATGTTCAAATGAATCCCAAAGTACTACAGCTTGTAAGGATGTCTGTGTTAATCTTTCTTTTCTGTGTACAGCTGGGGTGAGTTAGGGGTGGGGTGGCTTGCCTGCTGCTGTTAGGGATGGCAGGGAGTCCTTGAAGTCCTTGATGATTGGTCTCTTTTGTCCCCCAGTCTTTCTGTGCCTGTTGTTCTAAGGACAGGCTAATTAGGTATGGTCCAGGATGGTTGGAATTTTTCCTGATTTTCTTTGTGATGAAGACCATGGCCTGCATGTGCCCCTGACTCCTGCTGTGAGTGTCATTAAGCTTCCTCCTTGGGCGGAAGCCCTTTCACCTTCTGGAGGAGGATTTGTACCAGCTCCTGGTTTCTGCCTCTTCCACCAACACTGGTTTGTGGGTGGCAAAATGTGATTGTGAACAGCAAAGAAATGATTTTCTCTCTAAGAATAGGCTGATATAGCAGCTCAGGACACAGTACATGGTGCTCCTTTCGCCCTTTTCATTATTTGGTAATTGAACCAGCAGACATTTAATTCTTTCCTCTGGAGTCTTCATTAAATTGCTCAGAAAAGATAAAATTGCAACAAGAAAGAAAAATGTACAAATTTAACTACCATTGCCTGTCCCTGGATTCATCTTCCCACACCAGGCTTCTGGGCTTTCTGTAAACAGAATATTTTCAAATTGTATTGAATTCAATTTCAGTTGTACTTGGGGGCTCATCCTGATTTTGTAAGGATGGGTCCTCAGCAGGCAAGACCATGTGAGTGACTCCTTGTGTGCAAGGCATACGTGCCGAGGCATTTGTTAGAGTGGTCATCAGCTTTCCAAGGTGCCTCACCCTGAACCCAACATGACATTTCTGGGTCAGTAATAAGAGAACATTCCCTTCCAATGAAAAGGACAGAACTAAAGGGCTCCCGTGGGCATCCAAGCTCTGAACCTGCCCATTCAAAGCTGGCAGCTATGTCTTGCTCTTTTTTTTTTTCTTTCCTTATATTTGAAACACAATGCTAAGGCTCCCAGATCATATAGGACAAAATGGAAAAGAAAAAGTAAGAATCAAATTTATACAAGTTAAGGAGAGGGAGTGTTCCTTAATTTAAAATTGTACTCAGGTACATGTCTTGTCTTTCCACCTGGATGGTAAACTCCTTCCTTGAAGGTCCAGCAGGATGGTAGACGGTGAAGGCAGGCAGTCATGACTAGATGATGTTCTCTCATCAACTTAAACTTGCAACCAAGTTCTCCGGTGTGCACATTGAACAATGTCCATAATCATTATTGGGCTGCTTCGTTGGACTTTCCTAGTACACAGTCCCTAGATATGTCTCATTAGGATGCCTTTTGGGAACTCAGATCAGATGTTTCTGGATCATGGGGTGTTGACAGTAAAGGCAAGAGGAATTAGAACTACTATGACATGCTGCCTGGCAGACCAGTTGGATTCATAATCGAGAACTGCTCTGCCCAATATGGTAGCCTTACATATATGTGGCTATATAAATGTAAATATAAATTAACAATAAAAATTCAATTCCCTAGTATATAGTCATTTCCTCTGCTCAGTGGCCACAAGTGGCTAATAACTATTATATTAAATGGCATTTAAATAGAACATCTTTTCCATCATCTCAGAAAATTTTATTGGGAAGTACTGATGGAGAGAGAGGTTGATGTGGCCAAAACTCACCTATCTGGCATGTGATGGCCAGAAAGATGGGTATGTTCACTGCTTGGTATTGGCAGCCATGGGCTACATTAGCCTGGCTGAGCTTGAGGTGAGGTAATGCCTCCTCAATCTCCTTTCTGTGGACATCATGCTTCCCTTGTTTTTGTTTATGTGTCGAATCTATCATAGAGCAGGTTCCCTAGGAGACAGATTGTGATGCAGAGGTTTGTACGCAGAAAGTTTATCAGGGAGGACTTTCAGCAACCTCAGTGGTGGAATAGTGAAGGAAGCTGCATAGGATTAGGCAGAGGGAGGAGGTAAGCTGCAACTCAGTCATTCTAAAGGACAGCTGATCCCACAGAGTCTGAGCTGGGTGGCCCTGCAGAGTCGAGTCACCTTGAAGCAGACAGTAATATATTCCACAGTTTTTGTGTGTATGCCCTCAGGAAGCATTGCAACCACGGGTGAGGTGGCTCTTGGGTTGATGGGAGTTCCTAGAACATGACTCAGCTCAGACCCAACACCCAACAACATACCCAGCAGCTGGGGGAATGAGTGTGTTAGTCCTAAAGGAAGGACCGCTGTGATATGCCACATCATGTGCTACAGGATCAAGATCCAGTATCCTGACTTTGGGCTACAGACAGGAAGCTGATGGAAGATAAAGATGACAGGTAAATACAAGTTGGGGAGTTAAAGTGATGGAGAAAGTAGATGACTCCCAAAGCTTAGGAGAAGCCACATGGCAATGTGGCTGTCAACACTTTTTATGGTTCCTTTAGTTGTGAGCAGAATCTTTTAGAAACCAAATACTTCACCTGATCTTATGTGATCTGTACTATTCTAAGCTCCATGAGGAAACAGAGCCCATATCAGACATAATCATTTCCCAGGAGCATCTTGTAATCCAATTGGTTTTCAAAGAAGTGAAATTCTTGACACAAAATAGTGAGAGCCAAATGTGTATGAATGGCAGACATGAAACATGCCATGCCAATGCAAAGAAAACTTCATCTTGTCTGAGCTGGTTAGGTAAGGCTTTAGAAAAGAGATGTGAATTGAATTTGATCCTGAAGGAGAAGAAACAAAATGTACCACTTTTCATTTTTTCACCTCCTACTGCCAACAATAAATTTTTTGAAACTCTTAGGTTCCCATGATTCCCCACCTTAAATGTGTTGATAATCTCTTAAAAAGAAGCTTTAAAGGGCAATTATTGAAAGACTTCTTCTAATTGTTTATTTATTTGGTGCTGGGGATTAAGCCCAGGGCCTCGGGCATGCTAGGTAAGTGCTCTACCACTGAACTACATCTCCAACCCCTTAATTTTTAATCTTAAATGTGAGCAAAGCTTGTACTTCGATGCTTTTTTAAATATGAATTTAGCATGAGTTCGACTTGTTAAGATAGAGTTTTTCCTAATTGCTTTCAGTGCCTCCAATTGCTAACTTTTATTTCCTCCTCACTCTCCCACAGACGCCAAATGCCTGAGTCACAAAATTTCACCCAGCCTGTCAACACTTTTTATTTTTGTAGTGACAATGAAGTTAAAAGGTGGCAATAAGGAATCTGTTAAGGAAACAATAATAAGCATTTGGCATAGCTGAAGTTTTAGAATTTAGGAAGCATTTCCTCATCCATAACTCATACATCTTCAGGAAGAGCCAGTGTGGTGCACAGAACAGATAATACTGTCCCCACCTTACAGATAAGCAAAAAGTCAGGTCATGAAGATGGTACATGGCTTGGGGGAGCAATTCCTAGCTGCTTCCTCTGGAATGTCCAAGCAGAAACTCATGGTTCCTTTGGGGATGAGGAGGTGACTGTGTTTGACAAGAAGCTGGACCACCTGCTCCTATAGAGAGTTCATCCAAGAGCCAGTAGAACAGTCATCTTTCTCCCAGTGAAACACTTAAACAGGGAGGCAGTTCTGCAATCCAAGAAGCTTCCTCCATTGAAAAATTATGCCAGGAGCAGTGTAAAGTAGCCCATGTAAAAATGCCACCCTGTTTGGTGCAAAATACTATTCAAAGAAATAAGAATCATCCTCATGTTTGGACTGGCGATTGATGAGTGTCACAGTGTGGATACGTTTGTGTTGAAAAGTTCATGCCAATGTGATAATGTTAAGACTTGGGGACTTTTAAGAGTTGACCGGGTCAATGAGGGCAGAGCTCTTGTGCATGGATTAATGCTATTGTCCTAGGAGTAAGTTCTCTCCAGGGCAAGCTCTTGTAAGTATGAGCTCACTAGCTCCCAGTCTCTTGCATACTTGTTCTCTTTTCTTCTGCTTTCCTCTATGAGATAACACAGCTCAAAAGTCCTTGCCGGTTGCATGGCCATGCCTTTGGACTTCACCACCTCCAAACTTGTGAGCCAGGAAAGTTTCTTTCTTCATAAAGGATTCTCATCATTTCCCCTCCACTGCCTCTGACCCTCCCTCTCACAAAGACTCTCGTGATGATGATATTGGGCTCACCTGGATAATACAGTATAATTTCCCCATTTCAATATCTTTAACTTAATTACATCTGTAAAGTCCCCTTGCCACGTGAGGCAACATAGGCACAGTTTTCAGGGATCAGGTTGTAGACACCTTTGGAAAATCATTATTCTGCCTACCACATAAGTCATCCGACCTTGTCTCCCTCATTTTCTTTGTCTCTAAGATTATAGATTGTAATAGTCCCTCATGAAGATATTATGAGGATTAAATGAGAAAATCCACATGAAATTTAGCACAGTGCCTGACATTCTCTAGCTGTTGTTATTATTCCCATCTTGGTCATCATCAGGATCATTATAGAGCCACCATTTCACCCATGTCTATATCAATCAGACAAGCAGATTTTATGGAAGGGGGATTACCAGGCCACAGAGGGAAGCAGGGGGCGAGTCAGAGCACATTTTTTAAAAGATCATATTGTTGCAATTGAATTTTTGAAAAATTCCTTCTATTACTCCTTTAAAAACCAAAATATTGCAAGATGGCTGAGGCTGTACTTGTTTCCCAACTCTTCTAGAAGGTTCTGCCAACTTGGCAGGGCACTATGTTAGCAGCTCTCTGGTAGCAGATTTTCAGGAGAAATTTATAGCTATTCCTAATCCCTTTTCCCCATTGATTCTTCTCTTGCTCAGGTTCTTGTCAGGTGGACCCAGTATTGGTGACTGTCCAGAGGGAACCCAGCCTCTTCAGGAGCAGTGCAGTATCTCTCAAAGGGGATGCATCGGAACCCATATAAGGGCCTTTGAGCCAGATTTCTGGGTCCCATCCTAGTGTCCGATTCAGTAGGTATGGGCAGTGGCCTGAGAATTTGCATTTGTACTAAGTATTAGTGATATTGGTGCTTCTGATTAGAAGATCACACTTTTGAGAACCACTGGGATTATGGAACCTTAGAGGTGAAACAAGCCCCTTTGACTTACCTTGATGATTTGCAAGGTGCACCGTGGAGACCCATTAGGGACTGAGAGAGAGAGGGGAGCTTGAATAGCAGCAGTGAGTCCGTTTTCCCCAAGCATCTAAAGTGAGTCCACTCACAGGGATTCTAGATCAAATTTCATTTGAAAAGGGTCTGGAGATCAAAAGAATCCTGTTGACCTAATGTCCAGTTTCCTCAGTTTTCTGAGAGGCCCTAGAGAGTTAATGAGTGTCTAAACCCATATCCCTTTCCTCTTGCTATGGTCTAAACATCCCCCCAAATTCATGTTTTGAAACAATTCCTACTGTGGTCGCATTAAGAGGTAGGAAACAGCTTTGGGGAAGTGACTGAGTCCTGATGGCATGAAGGCAAAGATTCCAGCCTTTCGGAAACTAACTTTCACTCCTCTAACACATGAGGACCCAGTGTTCCTTCTTCCACATAAGGACCCCGAGACAGCACCATCCATGAGCAAGAGGATTTTACCAAACACTGCAGCTGCCAGCACTTGAATCTTGTACTTCCCAACCTCTAGTATTGTGACAGATAAATTTCTGTTCTTTATAAACTACTCAGTCTCAGGCATTTTGTTGTAGCAATACAAATGCTACTTCTGCCATAGTGACTGCCATTATCAACTTTCAAACCATAATTCAAGTGTCTTCTTAGCTTATTTTGCAATTTTGAGATCTATGTTCCTCAAGCTGAAGTCTTTACTCCCAGGACACCCCTTCCTCTTTTAGTTCCTCTTTTTACCCATCTGCTTCTGGAAATCCTTACTGTGCTGTTGCAGGAGAACCCTATTTATGAGCCAGTTTTATTCTGGGCCTTAGAGGAGAGAAGCAGCCTGTTTGCAGAAAATGCTTATTGATCTAAACAAATTTTCTACCACAGCAACTCCACATTTTGGGAGAACTGTGATTAGGCTACACATTTTCTTGGCAAGAGAGCAGGGAAGGTAGGACACACTGTCATTTAGACGGGCCAGATGAGAGTAGCATCATTTGAGCTCTCCTGGAAATAGAACCAAATAGCATTCAGGCGGCGGATTACTTTCTGAGGCTAACAGTGTCTTCAAGCTCCTTCACTCTGGCAGTGAATTTGCCATACACCACCCCCAACTCTACATTTCCCAGCCAGCTCTGAGTAGCTCAAGAGCGCCATTGTGTTGGAGGTACCACGAGAAAGGAAAAAAACACCATCAGTGGGTTTGCCTGCACGAGACTCTTCAAGACCAGACCAACGTCTTAAGAGCAGAATCAGCCACATCAACAGTGGGCGTCTCTGCACAATGCCAAGTAATCACTTTGACTCCTCACTTTCCAGAGGCTTGATGAATCCTCTTTTGCTTGAGGCCCACAGTGTTGCCATCATGGAGCCTCAGATTGGTGTCCAATCTTACTCTTTCATCTAATACAGCTGAGGAAATGATAACTAGTTTTGCCACCTGGGTTACTTTTTAATGATCTGAAAGACCACAAGGAGCCGGCATTTCTTTTGTGCCGTTTCTCATTCAACAACCTAATAGCTATCTGAAGAGAGCTTTCTTGAAAAGAAAAGAAAAAAAAAACAGTCTGTTCCTCTCAGGCAGAAGCAATAATAGCACATGATTCTCTGATTAAACCATCACTCTGTACATATTACTGGGCCTCTCACCTGCTTGCAGCCAAGTTACTGCTGAGGTTTCTTGGTATTTTCATTGTTGCTTTTCTGCTGACAGGCTGTGAAATGACAGATGGGTGTCCTGTGAATTGCAAATAAAGTGACCAAGAAACTGCTGGAGGCCCAGCTGCCTCTTGGGGCAAGGGTGGCAGGGAAAATGGGTTTTCCTTTAGGGTTACCTTCTTGGGTGCACATGAACTTCAGTCCAGGTTGTGGCCGAAGTTGTACAAGAAGCTATGCCCTCTGGAGGGAAGATGCTCTGCGTGGTCTCCTCACTAGTGAGCAAAGAAAAATTGTTTTCTCCTCCCTCACTCTTGTTAAAAATATAGCATTTGAAACCTCAAAACTTCTGTGATGTAGCGTATGAAAAGCAACTTGTAGTAACTAGCGCTAGTAACTTGCAGTAACTAGCTTAAAGTAGTGACCTGGTCATTATTCTATGTATTACATCTGAACGATTTTGGTTGTATGGAGTGATCACCAAATGTTTGGGACTATTCTGCCAATATATATGTAATAACTTATTTTGGAAGCTTTGTGTGCATTACTGCACTCACACTTTATGTTTTTTAGAAAGTATTCCAGAGAAA